CCTGAAACTGTTCTAAACCTGAAGCACCACTTTAGCTAATGGGGCCTCCCACTGCCACCGCTGTGTGATTTCTGTTCTCATCCTGAAGAAAAGTTCTTAACCCAAGGTACATTTCTGGGTTAGCAGAGTCTGTAATCTGAAGCGTATGTAACCTGAAGCGTATGTAACCCGAGGTACCACTGTACAGGGAACAATCATTCTGCGTGCGACCAAGGCACACACACACTGTTTTCAGTCCCTGAAAGGGGCGTAACAAGAGTGTAACGGAGCAGGCACATAATGGGGTGGGGCAGGTTCTTACGCATCACTGATGCGTGCCATGACCTGGAAAGCAACCCCTGTGCAAAAGGATGGCCATGGATAGCTTTATTCCCCATAACTTTGCATAACTCTCTTTTACAGAAATCCAATTTGGTGGCCTTCACCACATTGTGTGGTAGTGAATTATGTGTTTATATGCATATCATACCTTACAGCACATTACACTGTCAGCCATCAAATGTGGAAAAACCAAGTGATGTTCAGGCAGGTGCTAACAGAAGTTTAATTTCAATAGGTACTCCTTACTGCTACTTAGTGGGAGGGATGAGGTGGTGGCAAGGTTGGAGCTGGGCAGGTGCATTGCTAGTAACATTTACTGACTCTGCCAGTGTATGCGCACAGCAATCCCCATTGCTATATGATATGATAGCGCCCAAAATTGTTCCAGAAAAGGTAAGCATTGAGTGCCTCTTGAAAACTTAAGGGAAGCGAATGGTAAATGGCAGCGCTAAAGGAAAATTTAGAAAATTTCCACCTAGAAACAGTGGCTTGGTGTTCATATGGAAATTTTGAGGCTGTGGTCTGCTGGGGCTACTATTAGAACAGCTTCTTCTCCACTTTCAAAAACTTCATGATTGTGTGAACATTCACCGAATATAAGCACTAATATTTCCCTTCTTCTAAAATATCATGTGTTTTTAAGTTAAGCACCATCTATATAAAATTAAGTGCTGTAAAAAAGAAAAGAAAAGAAACAAATATGCTGTTTTGGTATGAGTAAGTGGTGATTTAGACAACCATTTCCCCCCTAACATGCACTGAGTTCTGCAGTCACCACATGGTGGAATTCAAGTGGGCCTAGTCTGGAAATGTATGTGACTGCAACTGTCTTTATACATTGGACTCCTTTGGGTAACCTCATTCAAAGTGAGTGCTTATTCCACACCACACAGAAACTGCAAAACATGATGCAGAATGCGAAAAAAAGAATAGTTTACCTGAATCCGAAGAAAACTTGCTCATTTTTGCAGCAAATGTGATAGTTACCTATTAAGTATTTTATACTACCATACTATTCTGGATTTCAAACTGGTAATTGAATCAGAGATGGCATTAGTGCGTACGTACAAGATCCCTCTGTTCGGATTTTCTGTGATGGCATACTAGGGTCTCCTTTCCCTAAAATATTAGTGGCCATTATCCGAAATTCATATTCCATCCATGGGATTAAATCAATCACCTTGGCTGACTCCACATTTCCATCAACAACTGGAGGGTCTAAATGAAAACAGAAAGATTATTTAATACACAGAAAAAGCAAACAACAGCAGCCAAGGTTGTGATGTTCACATTTCAGTTGCCACATGGACAGCCTCTCATGTCAGTCCAATTATTTATGAAGGGCCTAGAAAACAAATGCAGTTGGGCAAGATCCCTGAAATGATACCATTCCAATGGTGTAGCCTGTCATATTTTAGAGACCATGGAGACATTTTTATGCAAACATAATTTCTATTCTACTTTCCAAAACACGCACAAGAAAAATAGAAAAGGAGCCACTTGAATCATTCAGCTACAGCTCTGTTTTTCCAATTAACATGGACACTAAACTTATTTCAGTAACATCAAGTGCATCAACATGATAAAAATGAACATCAAATCAAATCAAATCAAATCAAATCAAATCAGGGCCTCTTGACATATTCCATTGAGATATGTTGGAATTTGTTACATTTTCCAAACATTAAGTTGGGGTCAGTGTGTGCAAATGTGGCTACCCTAGCAATACAAAACACTGCAGTTACCATTGTGTGAATATGGTTTCTAAATGTATGTTACTGTATACTTATGCAGTGATTGCCATTGTGTCTGCAGAGGTATTCACTAGTGCCCACAGGGTTCCCTTCCCTCCTTTTGCTGAAATTAGGCTTGTAAGTAGCATTATATTGTAGCTAAAAGACCATAGCATGTCCTTGGCTACAGTGGGTGTGGTGTGCCCACAACACTTTCACTGGTTTGCAATTATACCCATGGACACCAAAAGGTTTCTGGCCCCTACCCTAATATCACATTGACAGGAGTCCATGACCCTGAGGCATTCTACCCTAAAACGCATTATATCATTTTTATAACAATACCTTTAGTACAGAAGAGCAAGAGACAGAAAGAGAGAGACAGACGGACAGAACATTTTCAGTATTGCCCACACTTTTTGTTCCTGAATTAGATAATAGTATCAAAAGATACTATGACTGCCTGCCAAGGTGCAGAGCAACAATATTGACTTGATGGTTGAGACGTGACTTATTAAAGGTTCCTCTAATTTTGCAGTAGCAGGTCAGGACTGATTTCTGAGAGGAAATAGGGAGATTGTATTCTGCACAGAAGGTAAAATTCCACATCATTCTGTTGCTGAACTCCCTGCCTTTGCTAAACACCAGGATGCATATACCGGTATATTAATGCATAAAATGGAGCACAATTTAAAACCTAGAGACCAAGACTGTGAAAGTGATGCAGGCAAGTGTGTTATAGCACTACTTTAACTGCACAATATTTTTTTCTCTCTTTCACGCCAACCATTAAACAGCTTCTGTATTTTTTTTTAGTAATGTGTACCTACATTCAGTCTGGTAGGTATAGGTTAATCTTTCTAATATTACTCTTACCTGTTTTGGCATCCTTCCAGTACTCAGAAAGAAAAGTCCTTGACTGGATAGTGTAATTTGAAATAGGACTATGATTGTCTGTCCCACGGCTCCAAGTAAGAACTACAGATGTGTTTCTAATATCTTCTACTTTGAGTCCTCCTGGGGGGCCTGGAGGTCCTGAAAAACATTTCCATGAAAGATAATGACATGATCTAATCTAATATTGAATAGATAGGTATCAATAAAAGAAAAAATTTAAAGAAATGAATTGCATCCTCTTCATGGTTTGCAATAAATGTTCCACTGAGAGTTTTGTACAGAAATTCAGGGGTTGTTGCACATCTAAGGACTCAGTAACTAATACAATAAGCCTAATTAATAAAATTAGAGATGTTGTGGGACTTGATCTGAGCCTGGTCTAATTATGAACTCCCAGAGCTCTTAAATAGCTGAGCAGCACAACTCTGGGACCTCTGATGGACTCTGCAGTATATCAGACTTACGAAAAGGGAAGAGGAAGGACACAGAAAAATGTTCTTCCTCCCTGACGCCTCCTTGGCTGGAACCACTGCACAATTTGAATCAGGATAACTAAAGAGGGAGAAGGCCCTTTCATTTCCTAAGCTGCTTGGATGGGCTCAAGAAAGAAAATGACCTGATTTTCCGCCAGAAATAAATTTGCTCATTTCCTTATGAATCCAGAGGAAAGTTGGATTCTCCAGGGGCTGGAGCAGCTCCCCTATGAAGAAAGCCCATTTGGGCTCTTCATTTTAGAAAAAGAGCAAGTAACAGAGATACAGTGGTACCTTGGGTTAAGAACTTAATTTGTTCCAGAGGTCCGTTCTTAACCTGAAACTGTTATTAACCTGAAGCACCACTTTAGCTAATGGGGCCTCCTGCTGCTGCTGCGCCATCGGAGCACGATTTCTGTTCTCATCCTGAAGCAAAGTTCTTAACCCAAGGTAATATTTCTGGGTTAGTGGAGTCTGTAACCTGAAGCGTATGTAACCTGAAGTACCACTGTACTTTACACAGTGCACAGCTTAACTATGGAATGTGCTCCCACAAAATGGAGTGAAGGCCACCAACCCACCAACCTGGATAGCTTAGGAAAATTCACGAAGGCTAAGGCTTTCAATGGCTACTAGCCAGGATGGCAACCTCCATACTCTGAGGCAGTTTGAACACCAATTTTGGGTATCACTACTGGGGAGAGCGCTGTTGTACTCAGGTCCTGCTTTCAGGTTTCCCACAAGGATCTGGTTGACCTGCTGTGAGATCCAAATAGGATGCTTGACTAGACTGACCTGATGCAACAGTTCTTTTCTTAAGCTTTTAGGAGATCTCACTCATGCCCAAATAAAGCTGTAGGGCTCAAATTAAACGAAGATTGCCAAGGGGTGTAAAACCTTTATTCGCTCTTGTATGTTTTGAAAGATAGGCTTGAATTTCAAGAATGGGGTTCTCACCAGTGCTCCTCTGGTTCCTCTATGTTGTCAGGACACATTTAAATCCCTGTCAATGCCCCAAATAAAGTTGTGCCCTGGTGTGAATTTGCTCTAGAGGCCATTCTGAGGGAGAAGATAGCTTTCCCCTTTTGGCGGCCACCATTTTAATAATAATTCTTTCTGAAATAGGGTGGAAATCCATGTCACACTATGATGACAGTTTAAGCAGTGCAAGTAGTTGACTCTGGCCCATAAATTCTATATTTAAACAAAAAAGTTACCTCTCACAACAAGATCAGCTGAAGCTGTAGCATTATCAACAATTGACTGAGCAACGCATGTGTATCTTCCAGCATGCCGTAGTTGGGCATTTTTCACTATAAGTTCACCGTTGTTTTTTATCTATGGAAGAGAGGAACGACAGAAGTCAGTAATCCTCCACTGAACTCATATTTTATGTTTACAGTTTACTGACCTATAATTATGTGCAATCAGTGCCCACATACTGAAAAGAAATACAGAAAATGATTATATTACCTGCCACAGACTTGAAAAAACCATAAATATATGCATCATAGAATCATAGAGTTGGAAGTTGCCATGAGGGTCATACAGACCAACCCTCTGCAATGCAGGAATATTTTGTCCAACAAGGGTCTCAAACCCACAACCCTGAGATTAAGAGCCTCATGCTCTGCTGACTGAGCTGTATTTTAAAAAATGCATGAAAGATTTTACTGTCTAATGTAGGTCTTGACTGATGTGCAGAACATAATTCCATTTCATAATGTTTTAAAAAAACCTTCTAAAATGATTTGCTTATAATCCCCTTTCTTTTCAGAATTCAATGTTTGAATACAGTGGTACCTTGGGTTAAGAACTTAATTCATTCTGGAGGTCCATTCTTAACCTGAAACTGTTCTTAACCTGAGGTACCACTTTAGCTAATGGGGCCTCCTGCTGCCGCTGTACTGCCGTTGTGCAATTTCTGTTGTCATCCTGAAACAAAGTTCTTAACCTGAGGTACTATTTCTGGGTTAGCGGAGTCTGTAACCTGAAGTGTCTGTAACCTGAGATACCACTGTATTTGTCATACCGTGGAATGGGTGTCAGTTTTGGTTTTCTCAGTTTCTTGTTTACCCAATCTTAAATGTAGTTCTCCCCACATTTTGCAGCAATTCTTTTTGAAAAAATCATTCAAAACCCCAGTCAAACCGTGCTTGCTGAGGTCATAACTTATACGTTCAACACAAGCACTCCTATGTGTCCTTTCTACTGATAACAGTCAAGACAGATCTCTGGGACTGAAGCTGCAAAAACAGTCTCCAGAACATAAGTGATGTGCCACTTGGGCAGAGTTTGAGCAACCACCTTTTACAGCCTACAGTATGGTTGTGATGGTGGAAAAGTAATACTCTTTTACTACCAGTACATCCACGTAGCATAGATCAATAGAAGAGTTCCAATTTGATGAAGGCCTGTATGTAGAAACCCCAAGGGTGATGATAATAAACTCTCAGTAAACCAGTGCAATTTATTTGCTAAGCATTTTATGGCCATATTTTGTTCACTTGTTTCTATTTGAAGTTCAAAGTGCTGCCTTTACTTATAAACATCTAAGTAACCTGGCCAGAGGCATCCGAACAAACACTCTGCCTACTCTCAAGACAGAGGTCACAAACATGGTGTTCTCTAGATATTTTGGACTACAACTTCTGTTAGTTCCAGCCAGCATGGCCAATAGTCAAGGATTATGGGAGTTGCAATTCATAACATGTAGAAGGCACCATGTTGGCTACCCCTGTTTTAAAGCTAATGTTAGAAGCCTGGACCAGTTTCCCCTGCTTTGGGAGGTAAGGCAGACGACATCCAGGGCTTTTTCTATGGTGGCATCCAGCCCATGAAACACACTCTCTACAAATATTCAGTTCATGTTGGCTTAGTTAGTCCAAACTGTTTTATTTTGCCAAGCATTTCAGGGAGGCTTGCTTGTTGCTCTTTACTGTTTATTTTTGTTTTTGTTCTTTATATATATGAATTTTATAGGGCCTTTTAAAAACTACATTTGATTTTTCTAATGGATTTTATACATTGTATGGCACCTATACCTTGATAATTAACAATATAATGATTGATAAAGCAGAATATAAATGTTTTAAATAAATAATACAACCTGCAATCTTGCCCTGCAATGCAGGGAATTCAAGGACTTCGATTCAGACTGATTTTTAAGCTCTGTTTTATGCAGAGCTGTGTTTTTCTATGTAATGTGTTTGTAGTTGTATTAAAAAAATATCAATCATTACATTTAGTATCATATTCTATTTGGGTAGTTCACTGTCTAAAATAAAAAGTTATATCCTCAGGCCTAATTGAGTCCAATGACAAGCAATTAAAATCTAAGCCCAATTTCAACACTGTAAGCTGAAGGCAAGTTTCTTTGTAAATCTACTTTGCAGTTTATTAAGAAAATGTACTGAGATCAATTAACTGAGTTAAACATGTGTTCCTCTTTTAAAGTATTTCCATAAACTCCTCAATCACCCTCTTGAAATATATCTAGAGCACTTTCATATGTGGTAAAATGTTACAAGAGAGTAACAACTGAATTCATATCATACCATCTTGACATGGTTAACATTTTACTGTCTTAATTCCCTTAATTCAATCCAGGTTGCTCATTCTATCCAGTATTGATTGGGGAGTCAGGAAGATAAGAACTCTTGAGAGGTGACTAAGAAATATTCACTGATGCTTGTTCACTGAGCCATTAGAAAATAATATAAAGGAGTTGTCCTACAGGGTAGCAATAATATTTTGAGAGTTTTGGTTAATTAGTCTTGAAGGAAGCCAACCAATTTGCAAATAAAAATATTTTCCTGTACTGAAAACTGTATTTTACAGCATGTTTTTGAGGGAAGGGTGGGTGGGTCATTTAGTCACATATTTAATGCCAGCTTTCAGCAATAAAGATTTGTTTTAATGCATGCTGGAAAGAACTATACAAGGCACAATTATATGAATGTTGCCTTCAGTTGGATGCACCAATAAAGCATAGGGAAGACCCAATGTATCCCATATAGATATTGTTCATCTCTGTTTCACACACTGAGATTCTATTAATTATTAGGAAAATGGGACCCATCTTATCATGTTGCCAGTTTGAACCAATATAACTAAAAAATCCTTGAGCTGCACGTTGTTCAATATTTGCTTTACACTTTGTCTAAGATACTGAATTGACCGATGGAAATAGTATGTAGCAGATACATTTTGTGTTGAAGCTCTGCAGCAGCACATTTGAGGGAAGAAAACATGCAATAATCTTCATATCTAGATGGCGCCAGTTTGCATATGAAATCTCTATGGAATCAAACATTTAGCGGTTTGTAATCAAGCTTTCCAGTGCTCCATGGGAACATTGGTTCTCTAGAATAAAGCTTACAAAGCAAATAATGAGCATGGTCAGCAGCAAGTTTAAGCCTCAGCATAGAAAAGCATGCCCAGCTATGTTTTTACTGAAAACCTCAGCTTGGCTGGGTTACAAACTACAGGAAGAACTGAATCATGAACTGGAAATTTTGATGGCAGCTTTCAGATATGTTCCAAGTATACAAGCAATTTAGCACTCAGAATGCTCATCAAAGTTTTAAAGACCTACATTTAAAAAACAAACTATCAAAGCTGCTACTTTAAAATTGTGCAACTTATACACAAGAAGCTAATGTTTTCCTTTCTTATCTCTGACAATAGATGTTTTAGGCATGTCTTGCAGATTAGCAGGGAGTCTAGCGGCTGAGTCACTACTGTTTCTTGACAACTGAAAGTATGCCAGTTAGCAGCAATTGCTTTTCAAAACAATAAAGACCAAATAACGCAAACAACTGACACTATTTTAGATGGCCACCTGCGTTTCTAATGGATGCAAATTAGTTTTAAGTTTCATTGTTGACTTTATGAAGTGAATACATAGATCAGTGCAACTATCTTAAACCCTCCCTCCATTAATTCCCCATATTCCTTACTTGAATATTAATATTATTGCAGCTACCAGAAAAAAGGATAATTGTGAACCACAACAAAGTCTGCCAAATATCTGGTATGCGTCATAAAGTTATGACACAAAATAGCCAACAGATATTTAATGTTATGATACTTAGTTGCTTAATCTTTTTGTCTCTATGGTAATCTCCAGTCTGATACTTTGATGCAACAGATTAATCTGCCCATGATTTCTGTTCCCATCCCTAACTGGGAACAGTAAACCTTATGCAAAGCTGCCATCTGGTGACCAGAGCCTGTAACTCCAAGATAGGGGGAAAGGGCTGTTGAAAAGAGAGAATTGTTATGGGTGGGAAGGACAAATTGGCAGCTGCTGAAAGCCAGCTTTAAAACTACCAAGAGTGTTTGTCCAGAACTAAATATGGGCTGTAGGGATGTTGTTGTTTTTACATGAACTTGCAGGTGGTATGCTAGGATGATACACCCCCCCCCACTATTGCCACTATTCATGGGATTTGGAATGGGATACAAGAAACTGTGTCTTTATCGTATCACCTTCAACTCTGTCAGGATAGAACTATACACCATGAGGCAACTCATTGGAATGTTAATGGAAAGTAGAACCATTTGCAAGAAAGAATCATAGACAGGGAGTGCTTCAGCCTTCACACATGAACTAGTTCTCCCTTGAAAATGACGGTACCTATTTAATCTAGCCACACCTTCCAAATTGGGCTCCAAGGTGGCCTGTGTAGCAAATGGGGGCCTTGTATCACATATATTAAACCAGAAATTATTGGGCAAAATAAGTCTTAAGATGTTGTGAATTTACTCATGCAACATTACTATTTTAATGAATAAATGGAAACAAATGGAAGGAGCATAAGCTCTATGCAATATTACCAAAGAGGGAAAGTTACTGATGGATATCTAAAATAAGCAGGATTTAAAATATCGGAGTATGAGATGGCAAAACAACATTTCTAGGAAGAAGAATGCCACATTTCAGGATAGCTGTGCCCATTTTTCGTACAGGAGAAATCAGTATGACTTATTTTTTAGTATACTACATGGTTAGGATTGTGTTATAGATTATATCATTTACAACTGTCTTCTTTCTCAATTTATATTTTGTTGCTTTTCATAAAAACACAAAATAATAGTTAACTCCCAACAATGAAGGTAAGTGCCAGAGGCAATCACACTTCTAGACATCAGGAGTTAAACTTTTTCATAGTAGGAGCAGTGAAAAGTAGAAATGTCTTGGAATAGCTAATTCTGAAGCCTGAGTTCTGCTATCTTGTCGATAAACAATGCAGTTTCTACAAGATGCAACAATGTCATGTCCCCCTTTAATAGTAAACTCCTAGCTTGAAAAAGTTTACTAGTCCATGGAGGTGGCTTTTCTGCACCCCTTCTGAAATTAGTTCTCTTCCCTGCCCCACTGCCACAAAAAAATGGGGAAAAGAAGAAAATTGAAAAGCTATCACACAAACCATGCCTAATTCTACTGTGATAAAAATGTGCTGTATCTTACCATGATGGCCCTTTCATAATGTTCATTGTCTTTATCAATATCTATTGGATATCCATTGAGAAGCCAAATAAAAGTAAGGTCTAAAGATCGATCGTGCTCGGCGAGACACTGCATGGTAGCATTCCATCCAACTGTGACGTCAACATTGGTTGGTGCTAAAACAATCTTTGTAGCCGCTG